GAGTGTTCCCCATTGCCTGGCCTGCCCTGCCTGCTCCCTGCCATTCCAGAGTAGCTCTGTCCTATCTTGCACATCCTTTAAGGACATTTAGGTATTTGTGTGCGTGTGGAATAAATGCCACCACACTGGGGGCTCCGTGACTGGGCAATATTTATTTCCAATAAAGAGGATAGTCAAATACTGAAAGCAAATGGGTTGAATGAGTGGGCTGGGGCGGGGAGCAGTTCACACAGGAAGTCATCATTGGCAGAAAGGGGAGGTGACACTAGGCTAATTGTTCAGGAAATACAAATTAGTCTGAGTCTATTGAGGGAGCCCTAATGAGGAAATGAGAGGCTGCAGGTGCTCAGACTCCCTGATGTGTGGATTCTGCCCCTTTTGGGAAAGCCACTTGTGATGTGGTCTTGAGGTGTGTGTTTTTCTGGAAAGAACCCCAAGGGAGACACCCAAAGGAGGGTCATGGAGAGGCAGCAGGAGGCTACATGTGGCCATCAGCCCTGGCCTGCAGACTTATCCCAAAGCAGCCCAGAGTTTCCCTCCCCTTGGAGATGGAGCAGTATATGTGCTGTGGTGATGAGAGCATGTTTTCATACAGACTGGTAGGTGGTCTGTTGGGGTGGTGGCAGCAGTTAGCTCTCACTGGGGCTGAAGTTGATAGAAGGCAGGTTATGTTCTGGCATCCTCACTCATGCCACAGTCTTCACTCTGGTTCCCTCTCCCCTCTTCAGGGGTTTGTTGCCATCTCACCATCTCACAAGGCCCTGGGACCTCTGCGTCCACCCTAGGAGACCCCACTCAGGTGCCCTTGCCACAGGCGTACCTTCCAGCTGACACCCACATCCTTACCCTCAGGACCCGTGCTGGGCTTTGCATTCCTCCAGCCTGGATAGAGTCTCCCTTTGGTCATGTCACCCTGTGTGTCTGCTGCCCAGGGTGGGAGGCCTGCTGCCCCTGAGTGGGTGGGTTGGTAAGGCAGGTTCAGGAGCCTCTGTCTGTGATCAGAGCCACTGCCTACCAACAGGCTGGCTGGGGTAACACTGCCTACTGGATCTGAGGCCAGAGGCCCTATATGATGCTACACAGATCCCCAGGACTCCTGCCTGTCCAGTGTGTTAAGGGCCAGAGTTCCAAGACAGACTCCTGGTGGCATTTCTCAGGGTCTGCAAATAGAGTTGATCTGGAATGCCCAGGTGCTGCTTTCCACATAGTGCTGAGTGCCCTCTCCATCATGGCCCAAGAGGGCGGGCAGAGCCAGAAGGATGAGCCCTCCAGGAGATCCCTAACTTCCATGAAGCCAGGGCAGGAGGGAGAAAGGCAGAAGGCAGCATTTTCCATAGGGCCCAGGGCCTCTCTGTGTACCACCCAAGTTATGGCAGGGCCCACAAGCCTGACCTGTCACACCTTCTCTGAAGCTTCCAAGGAGGGTCCTGACTATGGGGTGTCTGTGGCACCAGCTGGCTGCTAGCCCCAGGCGGTGCAGGTGTTCTGCCTCCCCCTCCTGTCTGGCAGTGGGATAACGTCTGTCCAAGGACAAGGACACTGTGTTGCCAGGCTTGCTCTGGGGGACTTGGTGGGCTTGCTCTGAGGGGATTGCAAGGACACTCTGTGTTGCTGGGCTTGCTTTAGAGGGATTGCTGGTGTGGGGACCCAGGACTCTAAATATACCAGGATGAGGTCACTGGGGTGGAGATAGGCCATGTGGCAACCTCAGGACCCTGTTAGGGCCGGAATCCCAGGACTGGAGACAGGGAGCTGGTGGCCTTGCTCTTGCTCTCCCTGTGGGACTGGCCTCCTCACCGCACAGTGTCCCCTTGCACTACATCACTGCTCAAGGCACATTAGAGGTACATGTCACGTCTTAGACCCCCTCCCTTGGCTCAGTTTGGAGTAACTTTTTAGTGCCAGCTGGGTGTGTTCATGGCCACAGACCCAAATGAAAACATGAGATGAGGCCATTGTTGCCAGGGCACAAGTTGGCCCCTGGCAGGGGGGCAGCTTTGCGAGAGTTCTGTTAGGCTCAGTGAGGGCTACTGTCCTGCTCTGTGATCACTGCAATTTACACCCATGCTGCCTTCAGTTGGAAATGGGGCAGATTAAAAAAAGCCAGGAATATACAATGCCAACAGAGTAACCCCCCCACCCCACCCCCAGGATGCCCCAGTACCTGGGCACGTGGTACCTTACATAGCAGAAGGGATTTTTGTGACTAAGAGAGCAGACCTGGATAGCCCAGGTGGGACCCAGCCTGATGTCACCAACTAAACAAGGTGGTGACATGTAGAATCTTTATAAGCAGAGACTGTTTCCTGGCTGATGAGAGGTACCATGGGGCGGGGGTTCCAAACTGGGAATGGCCTTCAGATGACAGCCACAAAGAGAACAGGGACTTCAGTTCTGCAGTACTGAGGAACTGAATTTTACCAACACCTGAAGGAGCAGGAAACGGGCCCTTGAGAAACCCCCAAATGGAGGGCAGTCTGCCAACATCTGGATCACAGCCCAGGGAGACCCGAGTATACTCCTGACCTCCGGAACCTGGGATGATGTGTGCATTTTGTTTAGGCCGCTCAGTCTGTAATCACGTATGAACACTTTAGCACCAAGAGGAAACTGATACACCACAGGGCTGGCAAGGATGTGGGAAACAGGCTTTCTCATCTTCCAATGGGAGCAGCCTCCCTGGGGGCTAATTACAGTAGTTCCTGGCCTTGGAGCTCACAGCCCCTCTGGCTGCTTGTTTGTTAGCCCAGAGTCACGTCTGATAAAGATAGTGATTGTAGCTTTGTCTGTAACAGCCAGTGAAAACACCTAAGTGTCCCCCAACAGACCCCGCTTAATGGGGCCTCCCCTCACTAGAAGGCTCAACAAGAAGGGGGGTCTCTGCTGCTGGACGTTTCAGATGTTAGTGAGAAAGAGCAAGACATAAAAACCATGTTTGTTTGTTCTTTAATATGTGATAAGTATGTGCACAGGCTTGTGTATGCAAGGAATATTTCTGGGAAAGCTAGAAGGAGATGCTGCAGTGGCTAGGTGGGAGGTGTACCTTTCCTTACTATATTGTGCCTATGTAACTCTGCTCTAGTGTGTGTGTTTGACAGAGGGGATGATGTGCTTACTGTGTGATTTTGGTGGGGAGAGGGGGCTTACTGCACATTTGGGCTTCCCCCTTCCAGCCAGCCCACTGAAAATCTGCAGCTGCTGGGTTTGTGGAACTGCAGGAGTTCTTATTCTTTATCCAAATCCTTCAGTGGGAATGTTTTGTCAACATGTACTCCCAGGCCAAGGCTTGCTTCTTCATTAATAGTGTCTTTTAGTAAGCCCAAGTTCTTCCCCCCCCCCCCCCAAAAAAGATTTTTTTTGTTTTTGTTGTTGTTTTTTCCCAGAGAGGAAGGGGGAGAGAGAGAAACATCAATGTGAAAGTGATATATCAATTTGCTGCCTCCTGTATGCCCCCTACTGAGGGTAGAGCCTGAAACCCGGGCATGTGCCCTGACCGGGAATTGAACCAGCAACCTTTCAGTGTGCAGGATGACGCCCAACCAAGTGAGCGAAACCTGCCAGGGCAAGCCCAAGTTCTTAACTTTGATGAAGCCAGTTTCCAGTTTGTCCATATTTTTTTCTCAGATGGTTAGCGTTTTGGGGCTCCTAAGAAATCGTTGTCTACCCCATGGTGGCAAAGATCTCGTTTCTTCTAGATGCTGAGTTTTTGCTTTCACCTTTAGGTCTGTAGTTCATTTTGAATTAATCTTGAGTATGCTGTGGGTGCTTGGTGTAAGTGGAGTCAGCCATATTTATTTTATGTGACACTTCCCTCCCCATGGTTTCAACAGCATCTTGTTGGTGCACAAAAGCTGCAGTTTGTTCGTTTCTATGGCTTTTTAATTTCGCATTCTGTTCGTTCAACTCTTAGAGGACACTGGTGTCATCATAACATTTGAACATGTCACCTGAAACTTTCTGTATCATCTCCTATCTGTAAAATGTGATAATAGTACCTACCCTGGGGTGGTTGTGACAACTAAACCAAGGTGGTGACATATGGAAACATGTATTAGTAGGACAGGGCCTGTCTTGTAGCAAGTATCATAAAGGGACGTAATTGCTTGGTCATAAGATATACGTATGTTTATACCAAAGCCCATTGCTTCCCAGTCAGCTGCGCCAGCAGCTCCCTGGTGCCAGGCCGGCGTAGCTCAGCAGTTGAGCATCTACCTATGATCCAGGAGATCAAGGTTCTATTCCTGGTCAGGGCACATTGCCTGGGTTGTGGGCTCGCTCCCCAGCAGGGGGCCTGCAGGAGGCAGCCAATCAATGTCTCTCTCATCATTGATGTTTCTCTCTCTCTTTCCTTCTAGCTTCCTCTCTCTGAAATCAATAATTTTTTTATTTTTATTTTTTAAAGAGAACTCCCTGGTATTTTCAGTACCATTTCTGCTAGGTGGGTGTGTGCAGTGTGTTCATTTGAGGGTTCAGTCTGCACTTCCTGATTACTGGGAAAGTTGAGCACTGATGCTATACCCTCCTATGTTCTGCCCAGGGTCTCTGTATGTTCCAAATTGGGATCCTCGGGGCCCTGTGGCATCTGTCCTCTCCTACTTTGTGACTTTTTGCTCTCTTTATGGGATCTTTGGATGAACTCTAAAGATCTTCTTAATGTAGACAAATCTATTGATTACATATCATTCTTGTCTTTTAAGCTTGGTGTGTTTTATTTAATAAGCACTTTAGCTTCCCACCCCATCAGTTGGCAGAGTAGAGTGTATCTCCTGGAACGAGAGCAGATCTTGTTTCATAAACGTCATGAGTTTTGGTTGTGTGACAGCCACTGGAGCATGTGGTCATTTACATGAGTGGGAGGGTATGTGCTGGTTGGCCCTAGGAGCAGGTGTGGTGTGGGGTCTTCAGTGATGCCAGATCCACCCGCTCTTGGTGTGGGAGAGGTGGAGCAGGCTGGGATAGGGAAAAGGGCAGGAGTGTGATGAGTGGCTCCTGTCTTACAGATCCGGAACATGGTTGCGGTGCTGGAAGTCATCTCCAGCCTGGAGAAATACCCCATTACCAAAGAGGCACTGGAGGTGAGTGTCCCAGCCCACAGCACATGCTTGAGAATGTAATCTTTCCTTGGGCACTGCAGGAACCTGGGGGGGGAGGTCATCCCAGAGCTGGGGTTCCATCCTCTGCAGGATGCCCTGCACTCTGGGGTTGAGGGGAATCCAGGGTAGCTGCAGTGGGTGTTGCTGGCCCTCGACCCTTCCTTTGTTGTTGCCTTTGCCACAATGTACTCTCATCCAGAAAGCTTCCTTGACAAAGTGGCTTTGCAGTGGCCTTTGCACCAGTAGCTTGCAGGATGGTGCTTCTGAGAATGCTGTCTCTGGCCCTGGAATCCTAGTCTAAGGACTATATTTGAGAATATAGATGTCACAAAGGACCCAAATTCCCCCTAGGTTTTGTGTCTGGTAAAGTTTAGCAGCCACAGGGGATTCCTTGTCCCAAAAATGTGTCATGGTCTCTCTGGTTGTAGGAGACGCGACTTGGGAAGCTCATCAATGACGTCCGCAAGAAGACCAAGAATGAGGAGCTCGCCAAGCGGGCCAAGAAGCTGCTGCGGAGCTGGCAGAAGCTTATTGAGCCTGTACACCAGAATGAGGCGGTCCTGCGGGGACTGGCAGGTGCCCCTGGCTCTGCTAACGGGGGTGCCCACAACTGCCGGCCAGAGATGGGGGTGGCTGGTGCGCCCAAGAGCATCCATGACCTGAAGAATCGCAATGACATCCAGAGACTGCCTGGGCAGCGGCTGGACAGGCTGGGCAGTCGCAAGCGCCGGGGGGACCAGCGTGACCTTGGCCATCCTGGGCCGCCTCCCAAGGTTTCTAAAGCAAGCCATGACTCCCTAGTCCCCAACTTATCGCCTCTCCCCACCAATGGGATAGGCGGGAGTCCCGAGAGCTTCCCGGGCCCCTTGGACAGTGGCAGGCACATGGGCCTAGAGGGCAGCTGCCTGGAGCAGGGCGAGAATGACAAGCACAGCATCAAGATCCCCATCAATGCTGTGAGGCCTCACACCAGTTCCCCAGGTCTGGGCAAGCCCTCTGGGCCCTGCTTGCAAAGCAAGGCTGCAGTGCTACAGCAGCTGGACAGGGCAGATGAGACCTCGGGACCCCCCCACCCCAAGGGGCCACCTCGCTGCTCCTTCAGTCCCCGGAACTCACGACATGAGGGCCCCTTTGCCCGGCAGCGAAGCCCATACACACCCAAGGGCTCTGTGCCCAGCCCCTCGCCTCGGCCCCAGTCCCTCGATGTCACGCAGGTGCCATCACCGCTGCCACTGGCCCAGCCATCTACACCCCCTGTGCGGCGGCTTGAGCTGTTGCCCAGTGCCGAGAGCCCAGTGCACTGGCTGGAGCAGCCTGAGGGCCACCAGCGGCTGGCAGGGCTGGGCTGTAAGGCAGGGCTACCATCAGCTGAGCCCCTCCTGCCCCGGGCTGGCTTCTCCCCAGACTCCTCCAGAGCGGACAGCGATGCGGCCTCCTCCGGTGGCTCAGACAGCAAAAAGAAGAAGAGATACCGGCCTCGTGACTACACCGTGAACTTGGATGGTCAAGTGGCTGAAGCAGGCGTCAAGCCTGTCCGGTTAAAAGAGCGGAAGCTCACCTTTGACCCCATGACAAGACAGATCAAACCTCTGACCCAGAAAGAGCCAGTTCGAGCTGACAGCCCTGTGCACACAGAGCAGCCCAGGACAGAGCTGGATAAACCTGAGGCCAAGGCCGGCCTCCAAAGCCCCTTTGAGCAGACGAACTGGAAGGAGCTGTCACGCAATGAGATCATTCAGTCCTACCTAAGCCGGCAGAGCAGCCTGCTCTCATCTTCGGGCGCACAGACCCCGGGGGCCCACCACTTCATGTCTGAGTACCTGAAGCAGGAGGAGAGCACCCGGCGTGGGGCCAGGACGCCACACGTGCTACTGCCTCCAGGCCCATCCACCGACCTTCCAGGGCTGAGCCGACAGGTCACACAGGACGATCTGGACAGAATCCAGGCCCACCAGTGGCCAGGGGTGAACGGGTGTCAGGACACACAGGGTAACTGGTATGACTGGACACAGTGCATATCGCTTGACCCGCACGGCGACGACGGGCGGTTGAACATTCTGCCTTATGTTTGCTTAGACTGACTGGCCCCTCGGCCTCTAAGTGCATTCCCACCTTGCAGTTAGCGGGAGGGCAGCTGGACCTGTAAGCCTCCAGTGGTTTGGAGCCCGGCTGAGGCAGAAGGGAGGGACGGGGGTCTAGAGGTCTCTCCGAGCTCTTCCCTCAAAATTCTCCTTCTTTTGTGAAATGCTGCTACCAGTTTACTAACAAAATTACAAAGGAAGGACCGCGTGGAAGGAAGGCCGGCAAAATGAGTTCAGAACTCTATAGCAAACCAGCTATAAAAAGCGTTAGTTCCCCACCCAGAAGAGGTGTGGACACTTCCCAGCACCCATGAGCTGGGACCTCAGTTGCAGGCAGGCACAGAAAACCTGTGGGAAAAGTTACCTTTAACAGTGACAGAAGCACGCATCTCATCTGTCTGTGTTTTCTGTTCTTTAATTTGGCCCTGAGTGTCTGAGGCAGTGAGCAACCAACCCCATGGCCTCTGTTTGCATCCCACCCAGCCAGTGTTTCCGTCATGGTGCCAGAAGCTTCTCAGATGTAGTGAGCTGCTGGCAGCAGGGGGGGCCACCTGGCTAGCCAGTTTGACCCACACTCCATGGGCATCCATACATTAGTATCTGGTTTCAGTTCAAACCGAGTTTTTAAAGAAATGCTGCAAAAATTTAAGTTTTCTAGTTTATTTTATTCCCTTCTTCCATCTCACCACCAGCCAAATAATTTTCTTCCTCTTCATTTTCCCTTTCCTACACATATCTAGAAAACTTCACCTTTCTAGTCCCATCCCCAAAACAAAAAGTTCCCGCAGGTGCTACTGGTGTGTAAAGCTGTACTGTTGGTGAGGAGACTTGTCTGTGCGCTGGAAACACTCATGACCATTCCTTTAGATTCGTTTGCCTTATGGTTATTGTCATAACGCGATTTGCAAAAACAAGGAGCCTTAGTGAATGTACAGTACCTAGACTTCTGTGTTCTCAGGATGCAGAAGGGAGCAACTTTGCTATTTGGTCCAGTAAGTGGACACCTTGTGATATAAATGTGGAAATAAAAAAAAAACCATTTGCACAAACTGGTGTGAAAATCATTTCTAATTTGGTCCTTTATAGCCAAATCAGCCCTTTGTGGATTCTGGATGAGCCAAGAAAATGTGTCTAAGGTTTGGGCCTCACAGCGAGTCTGCAGGGAGGTGGGCATTCTTCATGGACACTGATCTCCATCTGTCTTTCATTCAGGGCCATGTGTTGCCTCTCCCGCCTCCAAAGGCATCTGCTAGCTTTGGGGGACAGAGACCAAGGGACCACATCAAGGAATGTTATCCTGTCTCCATCCAGGCCTTACCTGCCCCAGAGAGAAGCCCTCTCAAGCAGGCTGTGACCTTTTTTAATCCCCTAAAATATTTGTAGTTTTTACATGGCATGGCCCAGAGCCATGTCTGGCAGCTATTTCTTGGCCCTGGGTAACAGTGACAGAAGCACACATCGCATCTATCTGCGTTTTCTGTCATCCATGTTCCCGTGAAGGCCTGGAGCTTAGATCTGACTGGTGATTTTTTATTTTTTTTTAATAACTTTTCTTCCTTGACTATGAAGTGATTGATCATTTAATTCTCCACCCTTGTGCCCGGAACCATAAGCTGACTTTGGTTTTCTAGTTTTTTCACTCCAGGATTGGTCATCTTGGACATATCTGCTTAATTTCACACATGAAGAAGCAACTACCCCTTAAGAGGGGAAACCCCACAGGGTGAACCAAGAGGTCCAGGCATATTCAGTCAATCCAGAGCCACAGTTCCAAAGCCAGTGTGGATACCTAACATAGCCTTCCTTAGTTTGGTGCAGGACACACCCACCCCAAGAAGAGGGCAGTGGGTGAAGTGGCTCTGAGGGCAGTGTGAGGCTGAACTCTGGCCCTGCCATCTACCAGCTGTGTGGCTCAGTTTGCTCCTGTATATGTGTCCTCATTTGGGAGATACAAGTGTCTACTCCAGAGCTATGATGACTTAAATGGTCAGTTTTTTAAAAAGCACCTCAGTGGAACCATCTGTGCTGTGGAATAACTAGTTACTTTCCTAACTCTAGTGTGCCTTGCCTGTTTTTTCACCCTTAATGTGGCCAGCCCTGCTGCCATGCAGGTGTCTGAGTAAGTGACATTGCTATATGACAAATGGTGGTCCACACAGCTGGGAGATACTAGGGTGCAGGTTAGTGTTTAGAGTATCTCCTTTCCTCAGACCTGAGCTGTGGGACAGGTCTCTGCTCCCTGCCCCACCTGCAGGGACCACCTCTCCTGTCTGAGTATCCCATGGTAGATATTGCCTACCTTTGAGAACCCAAGTTTAAGCTAAGGTTTACCCTCCAACACTTTGGAGATCGGTGAATTGCCACTTTCTAATTTGCCAAGTAAGGACACTGTAGAACTTTATCACCCCCGCCCCAAAGTTGTTTAGTACATGACTTTTGGAGCAAATTAAAGTCCTTTAAATAGCACAAGATCATCTTCCTGAAAACACCGTCTTGTTTTCCCTGGCTAGGGCCTGGGGCAGCAGTTGGGACGCGACACCTCCCTTTCCCGCAGTGCCGGAGGAGGCTGCCATGTCTGGGCTTCAGTATGTCCGCCTGTGAAATGGAGAGGGTCATACCTACTTCGTAGAGCACGTCGTCGCGGCGGTTCCTAGGACGTGCTCCCTAGAACCAGCCTCGGGACTCCGCTCCTGGTTCGCAGAAAGGATTTAGCTTTTCACAATTTGGTCTTTCACCCTCGATGTCCGCCGCCGTCCTCCCATCAGGAATCTGGTTGAGGGCGCGGTGTAGCGCGGACGTCGAGGAACGACCCGCGAGCTCAATGGCGGCTCTTGCGCGCCCACCAATTCTGCTCGGGCTTCGGCTCACGATCCACGGACCAGCCCACCGCTCTGCAAACCCACTGGACTCTCAGCTGGAGTCTCCTTCTTCCGCTTCCGGAATAAGTCCTGCCCCCCACCGGAAAACCACCCGCGGGACATGGAGCCTGCTCTCGCTACGTGGTGGCGGGCGCGGCGGTGACGCGAGTCGGCGGCCAATGGGAGGCGGCGTTGGCTGGCGTGCCCG